AACAAGCTTTTTTGTCTTTTATGTTTGGTTTGGGTCTTTATCTTCCTCCCAAAAGTATTTTCATGGAAAAGGCAGTTCCAGGACTCACTGTGGCCTCTTCCACAAGAGAGAAGAAGGGGGGGTTAGAGATCTGTAGAAAGAACTGAAGTTGTTCACAGCAAGCTGGTTGGGAGAATGTGAATGACAGGTTCTCAGGAAAGAGACTTGTTCGTCTAAAACTGCAAGTGAGAGTCAGGACATCTGCGAGAGGAAAAGCAGAGTGGCTATGTTCACAGCTACTGCAGAAAAACACAATCGAGTTTCTGCAAAAATGACAGCTAGAAATGTCCTCGATCTAACAGTGCTGAGAACTGCAGTAAATATTGACTCCAATTTGCAGGGAAGCATACAGGGCTGGGAAGCTGATCCAGGCACGTTTCTCATCATTACTGTATCATAACTGTGTGTCACTGGGTAGGTTACAGAGTTCACAAAGTGGTTCCGTCTAAACAGTGGGGTGAGGCAGGCATCGTAATCAGCCCTGTTTTATAGACTAAGAAACGGTGGTTGCCCGAGGTCAAGTGTAACAGCTAGTAAATGCCTGAGCCAACGTTAGGACAGAGAGGGTTGGTCTAAATTCCGTGCTCTTTCCACTTCTCCTAACAGCCTTTCCTTTCATCCCCTTCATGACAAAAGATGCAGAAAGGCCTATAGCTGTGACTTGTTTACCCCACAAATCCTGCTTTAATGGGCACCCCTAATGCAACATTTATTTCACGACCATGTGCGTGTAGCGGTCAGAGGACAGGAGGCCTGGAGGGCCTCACAGCTCCTCCGGTCTAGGCTGGCCTTCGGGTGTTAGAGGAGAAGTGAAGAGCCAAGACTCAGCTGTCAACCGGGACTCAGTCGAGAGTTTTTTCTCCAAGTCGTCGCCTCCCTTCTTTATCCTGAGCTTTCTCAGCAGCAGAGTAGCTGCTCTCTGTTGCGCATTGCAAAGAAAACCATTGTCTTGGAGCTCTTTTTCTGAAGTGAAAACTCTGCTTCCATTTGTTCTGAAGGGGAAATACATTGAAAAGTAAAACACTGTTGGCTGTTTCTGCCAGTGCAGGAAACTATAAAGCAAGCACCCCTGGCTTTGCAGCCATTGTCCTCGATAGAGTGTTGGAAACAACTTCAGGATGCTTATTTTATGAATTGATTTGTCACATTTCTTGGAACTAAGGGCTAAAATCAATATTTCCATATTGAGTGTGGTTCTTATTTGTTTTTCTTGAAAGAAGAATGGTAAAGCATGGAAAGTGCTTACACAATGCCAAATACCCCCCAAAAATCAATGTTTATTATTATTATTATCAGCACCACTTTATCAAGATGTATAGACTTCCAGGATGCTCTAGCAGTGCGATTTAGCTGTGCTGTTTGTTTTTTCCTGCGCTGCACTAGAAAAATGTAATGTAACTATTTCTCATCACTTCCTGGAAAAATTTTGAGTTTAAGCCATTTCTGTCCGTAAAGTTTTGCTAGGCTGTGGGTTTTATGAGACAGTGAAGTCAACTCTTAAAAAATAAGGAGAATTGAGTTTCAGAGACACCACAGTGAGGCTTAGCGAAGCAGGCAGCAAAGGGAAGTTCTCCCACACTAGGAAGAGCTCCCACCAGGCTGCAAAGAATGCGATGGCTGAGCCTTGGAGACCTGAGCCTGGTGGGGACCTGAGACCAAGGGAACCCAGGCAGAAGGGAACTTACACAGGCTCCATCCGGTGTTGCCGGCCACGCTGAGCAAGGCACAGAAACCACAGTCCAAGAGCTAAAATAGAATTTTGACTGCAGTGGTATGACTTTAAAGAATGTTATTGCATATTGGCTATCACAAAATCATTTTCGTAGAATGCAGGCACACTCTTGGCCAAGTATCTATTCCTGCTAATCAAATTGGAACAGAGAAAAGGGGCAAAAAAGGAAGAGAATTTCATTTCTAAGACTGTGTAGGCCGCCTTGTTTCTGCTGGGACAGCAAACAGCAGTGTCTCTTGCTCAGACTGTGAGCCGTGCAGATTGTGGGGAGGGACTCTTCTCTCTCATGCTCAGGGACCCAGGCTGCGGAGACCTCTGCCTTCCTGTGGCTGCATAGCTCTGTCGTCACAAGGTCAGGGGAAGAGCGAAATAAAGACAATTTATGCCCCTATGCCTGTGTCTGGAATTGACACTTATCACTTCTGCCTACAGCCCACTGGTCACATTGGCCATGTGGCCCTTGGTAACTGTCAAGGTGCTGGGAAATTTGGGGGAGCCCCCAGCATTCAGAGGGCAGTAGATGTCTCTGCTACACAAAGCTTGTCTGGTCGTGTTTTGCAAAATGCGCCTCCCTGACTGGGCTCTGCAGAGGCGTGTAACGAGTTCTGCGAACAATTAAGTAGAGTCAACTAAACGTTGAGTTGAATTTATCATCTTTTATCTGTTTTATTGGGAGAGCTATAAAGTAATGTGGAAAGAAAAGTTTTGCTGCCAAGAGAATCAGAAATTTACTCATTTGTTCCATTTTTTGTCTTCAAAGAATTGTTCAGTCAAACCATCTAAACCCTCTCACCCAGAGGACTGTTTTCACTAGTCACTGAGCATCCTTCAAGGACACCTAACATGACATTTCTCCAGCTTGGATTTCAGCTTCTTAAGTGAAGTCAGGATGTTAGGCTGATATCTCTGCTTACGGGTTTGATTCTAAACACGCTCATCTTCAGCAGCAGCAATAAAATCAATGGGGAGTCTGCATGCACCGTGAAGCCACCACCACGGGCTTTCCTTTAGGTTCCTTGTATATAATCCTTCCCAGCATTCTAGGCCACTGGAAGACAAAGCTTAAACTTAGACCATTCCCTGCTCAGCTAGTTCCTGTCTCCGCCAGAAGAGAAAATCCATACATCTGCCTTCCCCCATGGCCTGTTGGGTCTCTCATGACCAGGGCTATTTTTATGAAGGAACAGGTAGAACACTGCTCCGAAAAAGAGCCAATGTCTATTCATAGACAGAGCATGCTCTAGGACATCGCCAGAACTTACAACATTCGTTCAGCATTTACCTTTATATGCCCTTACTAAAAATATGCATTTTTATCAGGTATTTGTCTTCAAACAGTGAACAGTCCCCTCCCACATCTGCTAGGTTTCATTCTGGGCCAGTCTACTGCAGGTCCCACAAAGGAGAAGGGCCTGGAGGGCTCCTGGAGAAGCAACCCGAGGAGGAAGGAAACCGGTACACGTGAGCCTTTTCCCCTCCCCTTAGTGTGCAGGCTACACAACAAATGAGCTACTTTTCTTCCCCAAAGAGTTAAGAGAGAACCAAGAGTGTGGATTATGATGGTGAAGAGGTCAAAGGTGCTGTCTCTTGAGGGAAACATTTTTTTTTAGGAAGGGTGCAGTGCTGTTCAGGGTTAGGAGGACATGTTTTGGAGCCAGACTCCCCGGGTTCAAATCCTGCCTCAGCAACTTACTAGCTGTGTGACCTCAAGTAAGTCACCCCGTCTCTCTGAGCTCCACTTCTCTCATTTGTAAAATGGGGATAATACTAGAAACAAAACTAAAGCATTGGATTATAGTTAGAGTAACGTGGGTGGGTGAAATGATCTTGGCAAGGTTCCAGGCACATAGTAATTGCTCAAGTAATAAAGGTCCAAGTGTTGGTTTCTAGAAAGTAGTAGGCATTTTGTCAAAGAAACAAATAGTTTACACATAGACTTGTACCCTTGTCAGTTATAACCTATAGCCATTTATTAAAATGCCAAAAAATAAGACTGTAAAACGAACNAATAAAGGTCCAAGTGTTGGTTTCTAGAAAGTAGTAGGCATTTTGTCAAAGAAACAAATAGCTTACACATAGACTTGTACCCTTGTCAGTTATAACCTATAGCCATTTATTAAAATACCAAAAAATAAGACCTTAAAATGAACAAAACCCTGTTTTTAAAATTTATCCAAGCCCAATATTTAACGGAGAAAGATGGAAACATTTATTCTAAAAACACTTTTGAAACAAAAGAGACTGTGCTAAGGAGAGCCAGGTGTCTCGGTCCACTCCCNAACAAAACCCTGTTTTTAAAATTTATCCAAGCCCAATATTTAACGGAGAAAAATGGAAACATTTATTCTAAAAACACTTTTGAAACAAAAGAGACTGTGCTAAGGAGAGCCAGGTGTCTTGGTCCACTCCCATCTGCAGACTCCGGCTGCTTCTTTTTTATTTGGTAGCCTGGAACCAAAGAGTTCCTGCATTTACTGACAGGACTGCAGAGCTCAATGGTGGTGCATTCTTTTCTAAAATGCAGCAACTTGCCCGGCAGGTGTGGCTCAGCGGTTGAGCGTTGACCTAGGATCCAGGCGATCGGGGTCCGATTCCCGGTCAGGCACATGCCCGGGTTGCGGGCTCCATCCCCAGTCAGGGGCGTGCAGGAGGGAGCCGATCAATGACTCTCTCATCATTGATCTTTCTATCTCTCTTTCTCTCCCTCACCCTTCCTCTCTCTGAAATCAATAAAGACATATTTTAAAAAATAAAATAAATAAAGTGCATCAACTTGACAGCTAACATTCATCCTAACCCAGCAACAATGAGATAAACACCAGCCACTAGTGGCTGCAAATTCAGCTGAAGTGTGTACTGGATGTGAATACAGTTTCACTGCGAGCCTTCCCCAAGAGCACACCTGCCATATTTAGTGAATTTGCCAGATTACAGTCTGCAACTCTCAGGTCTGCTGGGGCCTCCTACACTTTCTTCAGCCCCTTCAGTTTCCAGACCCCTGAGCCTGCTAAACTGAGCTACAAGCTGCTAGCGAGGCTTCAAAAATCACTGTGTTAATCTGGAAGAGTGAATATACTCCAAAGTACTTAATTTTCTCCTGGGGAGTCATCTGCTCGTTGGTAGGAAATAGATGACTAAGCAATCATTATCAACGCCTCGAGATAATTCTAGCGCAGGAAGCAAATAATCCCGGGGACAGCATGCACTGCAAAGCTTACTTATTGTGAAATAAAGGAGGCAAGCAGCATTTTATTCAATATTGAAGGACAAATCATGACATCACTGATCACTCACTCTGTTATTATTGTCATATATTTCCCCTGAACATGACAGAATTTCTTTTCTGGATTTCAAAGTAAATATTTCAGGCATAAATCTCAAGTCATAGAGTCAAACATTGGTATTTGCCTTAACACATCATTATATTTGTGTTTCCATGCATTAACAAAAATATTATCTTAAACTGTGATTACAAACAGCTTGAGTCAAAAGAGTGCTTTCACCTTAATTAAAATACAAATCCATACATCAATCTATAAACACTTTTTCAATATACTTTATGGAGAAGGTACTGTCCCAGATGTGGCTGAGTGTAGAAATGAGTGTAAGACATGGTCCCTGTCTTTACAGGTCTTAGAAAGCTATCATTTTATTCCTACTTTTAACATCAGACATGTTTACAATAAAGAATATTAACACAGCTTAAAAATGCCAATTGCTAATGAAGAATCATAGTAAGAAAAATAGACATTTCCAGAAATCATTATTTAATGTTTTTTGATGCTAGTCTTTCTCAAAACAGAAATTTAAGTATGTTACCTTCACAGTGAAGTAATGTACTAAGATTTTCATTCAAATGGCATGATTTCTGTTTTAAAGTTCTAATACAGTTTTGCATAAACCGAATTCCAACTTCTTAAGAAATGCCTCTTCTTTCCATCATTTAAACATTTTCTGTAAGCCATATATTCAGGTCTTCATATCAGTGAGAGTGATGTCAGATTCTTGGTCCAAACACAGGTACCATTTGGAGATTTTCTTGAACTAAATACTAAAGCAAAGNTTCCAACTTCTTAAGAAATGCCTCTTCTTTCCATCATTTAAACATTTTCTATAAACCATGNTTTAAGTATGTTACCTTCACAGTGAAGTAATGTACTAAGATTTTCATTCAAATGGCATGATTTCTATTTTAAAGTTCTAATACAGTTTTGCATAAACCGAATTCCAACTTCTTAAGAAATGCCTCTTCTTTCCATCATTTAAACATTTTCTGTAAGCCATATATTCAGGTCTTCATATCAGTGAGAGTGATGTCAGATTCTTGGTCCAAACACAGGTACCATTTGGAGATTTTCTTGAACTAAATACTAAAGCAAAGTTCAGCAGCACGTTTTAGTCGAGCTCGGGTCTAGGTGCTGCAGGCCAGCAGGTGAGGGGGCAGTCACCTCTCCAGAAGGCCTGACCCTCCCGAGCCCCAGAAGACGTCACTTTCTTTGTGTATATTCCACCCGGCATTGTCCTTCTGGCTGCTGGACGCCCACCAAATGTAGGGAACGCTAAAAGCAGAAATGAGGGAGAAATGTGGAAATTAAGAGACGGAACCAACAGCTGTAGACCTAAGGTTTATTCGGTTATACTTATCCCTAAAAGGCACAGAGTCCAGATTTGGAAGACTGGAAGTGTTTGCTTGATGAGCCTCATCGACTTGAACCTCCCATTCAAAGGACAGAAAAGATGGCAACCCCTTATTCTAATGGCAATCCCACCACAGTTTCACCTGCCACCCTCCCTTCACTGTGCCTGGCTAAAGAGGGTGCCACAAATAAGACTTCCTACATGCCTGGCCCCTAACTGTGACACCTCCTTTACAGTGGCTGGGTGAGACCTCTATGCTGCATTACAGATGTTTAAAAAGCAAACAGGCCCTGGCCGGTATGGCTCAGCTGGGTGAGCATGATCCCATGCACCAAAAGTTGGCAGGTTCAATTCCCTGTCAGGGCATGTGCCCAGTTGTGGGCTCCATCCCCGGTGAGAGGCGTGCAGGAGGCAGCCCATCAATATTTCTCTCTCTCTCCCTCTTCCTTCCTCTCTCTCTAAAAGTCAACAAAAAATCTTTTAAAAAAATAAAATTAAAATGAAAAGCAAACAAGGTGCTGATGGTCTGAATGAATCACTTTGACAGTATACCAAAGATAGTAACTTGCAAAAGGATATTTTGTGGGTTCCAAATGTTCTGATTTCTTTCTCTCTAGTTATGAGCAAGGAATGTGTATGGAGATGAGAGGAGGCCAGTTTACTGCAAATACAGAGGTGGCTGAGGCTTGGGAGCTTGAAAAAGAAAAGCTGCCTGTTCTGCCAACCTTGAGGGTTGAGGGGGACATGAGAAGTGAGGAAAGAAAAGATGGATTTAATTTAAGCCATCAGCCTGCCGTCAAGTGTGAGTGCAACAGGGCACGGAATGGGCTGCTTAGCAAGGAGACTCTTAGGGGGGTCGAGAGGATGAGTGCAGGGTTTCTGTGGACCCTATGAAATTCAGTCACAATTCTGTGTGTATGAAGAGGAGTGTGTTTTTCTAGAAGGGGAATCCAGGTTTTGTGAGATTTCCTATGGATCCACAGCCCCCCAAAAGGTAAAACAGAAAACAAAACAAAACAATAAAACCCAACAAACAAAATCCCACTGTATTAGCCAAGATGTGCTTGCTTTTGGGATCCAATCATGGACCCTGGGGAGCTCTGTAAATGTTCCCGTATTGTCTGGTTCTTAATGGGAGAGAACCTGAAAATCAATTGATTTCTTAAGATCTGAAGTAAAAGAAACACTGGTCTGTTGCAAAATTAAATTGAGGATTCTAGCATCTGATTTTTGCTACTGTGAAAAGTATGTTCCTATGGGGGAGCTGATTTTCAAGTCCAGTAATCTCTCTGCACTTGATAAAAAGAGTGCTCAGAACATGCCCTGGCAACCACGCCTTCCTATAACCTACAAGAACACGGTAATTTGAAGGTCATTTCCTACAGGTTTTTTTTAAAATATGATTTTTTTGATTTCAGAGAGAGTAAGGGAGAGGGAGAGAGAGATAGAAACATCAATGATGAGAGATAGTCACCGATCGACTGCCTCCCACACACTCCCCACTGGGGATCCAGCTCACAACCAGGCCGCGTGCCCTGATGGGGAATTGAACCGTGATCTCCTGGATCATAGGTCGATACTCAACCTCTGAGCCACCCTGGCTGGGCCCCTGCAGTTTTTGATCACCTCATTTTACAACTTAGTATAACAGGCCCAATAATTACATAATTTTAATTGACCTTTCTCTTTCTAGAATAAGAATTATGAAATAAAATGTCCTTTGGGATCATGAGAATTAACTTAGACTTGTACTTTTGACAAACTGAAACAGCATATATTTAAAAAAATGTTCTTAGCAGAATCAAAACAGAAATGGGATGTATGTAAAATAATACATTAAATACAACTAACAGAATTTTTAGCTAGGAAGGAATTGCTGGGAAAATCCTGCCTGGGGATCTGGTGACACTGATCTCAAGCATCAGGGTCATGTGGTTCTGACAAATGTTATCCTTCTGATCTGAAAAGGTGTTTCTGTTCCTTGCTGGTGGGAAAATAGTTGACATTGGGGCGAAATTGTGGCATCTAATTTAGGGGACCAGGGACCAGGATTTGGTGCCTATAAAGCCTGGCTCTGATCTTCATTTTGCCAAAAAAAATACAACACAAAAACCTGTACTCAGCTGTGAACCTTTGTGAAGGGTGTTTGATCCCCCTTTCATTGTAGGACTTTGAGAGCTCTTCATGACTAAGTTACTCGTTCTCAAAATAGAAATCAGGGGAAATGCTGAAAGGTGCACTTTTGTGAGTAATGCAATATTGTCTGTGCTGCTTATGCACTTACATAATTTCTATTGAAATGTCACCCAAGGGTTTTATTTATCTCTCCATACATTAGCCTTATGATATCAAGAGTAAACCAAAGCACAAAATGTTGTGTGAATGACCCTGTGATTGCAATGCTTAATTTCTGAGTTTCACCCTCGTTTAAATAGCACCTTTTATGCAGAGTTTTCAAACTGACTTCCAAACATTTGTAGTTAAATTGCAGTTCCCCTTATTTCCTTAGACAGTGGTCCTCCAAGTGTGGTATCCAGACCAGCAGCATCAGCAGCACCAGAATTTGTTAGAAATGCAAATTTTTGAGCCTCTCCCTAGACTTAGCGGATCAGAAAACCTAGGGGTGGGGCCAGTTATTCTGTGTTCTAACAAGGCCCCCAGGGGATCCTGATGCTCCCACCAGTTTGAGAGCCGTTGGTCTCTAGAACAGAACTATGGAAAATGGAGGAGTTCGATGATTGGAATATTCACTGGTCAGAGGTTGGAAAGTCATGGCCTTTTCATTTTTGTTACCGTCTTTCCCACTGGGTTCGTTGCTTCCATGCTATTGCTTTCCAAATGGACCAAGGGCTACGACCTGTCTCCAAAACAGATGGTTCACTTTAGGACCCACAGGCATATCTTTCTAGGGAAAGCAGCCCAACACCAAGGCCATGCTTATTTAACCCAGGAAAGGGGGCTAACATTGGTAAATTCATTGAAGACATCCTAAGGCTAAGTGGTGGAAACACTGCTACTAGGTCCTGGTGTTGCGATGATGCAGCACAGAGGCTAGGTGTGGAATTAAGGGAGTTTCTTCCCAGTCTGCTTCCACGTTAGACACCTGTTAGGATCAGGCCTAAGGGAGGGAATCAGTAGCTCATCTCTAGTAATTAAAACCAAGAGGTGAGAGTTTATATCAAATTTGAAAGTCATACTATTCAAAATTCCAAAAGCACTTACCGGTTTTGGCAATGGGTCTAGAAGACGGCAGTCATAATAATAAAATAAGAAAATAATACACATCTCAATCTCTAACATCGCAAGCCACCTGGAAGAAAATATAAAATGGTTACTTGGTTATGAAAGTGCATAAATATTCTCCACCAATAGAGGACATCTAGAAAGTGGACATATTTCAGAGCAACTTTTCAATATATTTCAATATAAACTTTTACTGCTGAAAGAATAGAGAGAGAGCTTCCTCTTTTCTTCTACAGGCAGACCTCCTTTTATTGGGCTCCCCTGTCTTGCACTTCACAGATGCTGCGATTCTTACAAATTGAAGGCAAGACCCTCCACCAGCAAAAAGATGAGGATTCACTTTATTGCAGTGGCCTGGCACTGAACACGAATTATCTCTGAGGGGTGCCTGCATAAAACAGTCTACTCCACAGGGTAGTTGAGATGATTAAATTGCTTAGAAATGTACGTGACATGTTTCACCAGTACAAGCCCTTGATAAATGGAAGCCCGGGTCTCTCTTCTAAGTTTAGACCTATGCTTTCCAATATGGTGACCATTAGCCACATGTGGCTATTTAAATTTAAATAAATTAAGCAAAAAAAATATTTTTCAGTTCCTCAGCTGCACTGGCCATATTTCAAGAGCTCAATAGCCGTATGTATGTATTTAGGACATTTCCATGATCACAGAAAAGTCTACTGGACAGTCTGATCTAGAGCCTTATTGCCCACTGGAAATTATTGCCTAAATGTTCTGTACGCACCTCAAGTTCCCCATAAATTATGTACAAATACTACTGTGCTAGTTTATTGTCTACTTTGTAAGACACATACAAATATTAACTAAAAAAACTGAGAAAAATGTAAATGGAATTGTGTTATTTTTTTTCTTTCACTCCAGTGGGTTGTGTTGAGCTCTCTCTGCAGGTTATGCAAACCCTTTTAGAGGCTATAGCCCCTAATGGGTACGATTAGTCCAAGAGGTCGGGAAACCAGAAGTCATCACAGCCTCACTCCTCTCCATCGCCCTGCGTATCCAGTTAAGCACTGAGACCATTTGTTGTATCTTCTAAATAATTCCCCAATCCCTCTCCTCAGCCCCTTGCCTGCAGTCTCTCCACTCCTCCCTCAGTGTGGTCCTTTATCATTTACTTCCTGCGTTTCTCAGACAGTTTGGCTTCCAGACAGGCCACTCTACTTTCAGTTTCACTTTTCTCCACTCTACCCTTCTCTCTACGACTGGAGTGAACTTCCTAAATCATAACTCTATCACTACCTGCTCATTACACACACACTCACAGAGAGAGGGATGCTTCCCATTTTCCTCCAAATGCTGTAAGAGAACACGATCTGTCCTCTAGCCCAGCCGGCATGGCTCAGCGGTTGCGCACCAACCTATGATCCAGGAGATTGTGGTTCAATTCCCGTCAGGGCACATGTCCGTGTTTTGGGCTCGATCCCCAACAGGGGGCGTGCAGGAGGCAGCTGATCAATGACTCTCATCATTGATGTTTCTCTCTTTCTCCCTCTCCTTCCTCTCTCTGAAATCAATAAAGATATATTTAAAAAACAAACAAACCTGTCCTCTGTTTCCCCAATAGCTTCTCTTTGAATCCCAGCTTTTGCCACACTGTATACCTGGTGGTCCCTGAATGGGAATGCTCCCTGTTGCAAGCTCTTTCCCTGTCTGAGGCTCAAGCCCCTTGGGAGGCAGTCCCTGGTCACTTGCCTCTGGGCTGAGGTGCCCTTCCTCTCCACTTCTGTGGCTCCCTGTGCACATCTCAGCCACAGCATCTCAGCCACAGCATCTACAGCACTGAGTTGTGGTTATTACTTATTTCTCCCCTACAGGAGGTATTGTATTGCTGGGCCTTAGCACAGTGCATAGTACACTACTGGTGCCTAATAATGTTAACTGAATAAATGAATAGATGATGGAAGGTGATTCCTTTTATAAAGCAGATTCAATTTCCTGCCCTTTTCTACCTTCTCCTGTGTTTTTGTGACACTTGATACATCCCTCAATCAACGTCCTTACCCTACAATCCTACTATATCCTACCATATTACAGTTAATCGTTTGTATGTCTGTTTCCCCTTACAGACTACAATCTTCACAAAAAGCAGAAACGACCTCTTATTTATCTTTGAATCCTCAATGTTTGTTGATCAAATGAGTAAACGAATGAATATGAATGATCTGATATTCATATCAGGTAATTAGATTTGTTTCCCACTGGTATTCTTGAAACATCTTGGCCATATTTTATTTCAAATGAAATCTGGAGCACTCCGGGTGTTGTTATAACCCACTTGGATACCACATCAATTCCTGATGAATATTTATGATGCAAATTTAACCCTATTTACTTGTAAATGCTAAAAATAATTTATTCCAACAGAGTATCAATGTCTGTGAAACAGAATGCACCCAATCTTCACCGATTCAAATAAAATTAAGCAGCAGTTCTAAGAAATAGCAATTTTGCTAATTTGTGTACAGGTTTAGAATTTCTCCCAACTACATTTTTGTCAAACTTCTTAAAAATTAGAACATCCACTTTTGCCCATGATGGAAAAACAGAAGTCAATGCTATTCTACACTCAAAAACTGGGCAAGGTTCACGGTATAGAATGAAAAGTCCCCAAAAGAAAGGGAGAAGTGAGGTGAGCCCAGCTTACTGCCTGTGGCAGTTTCCAGGCCGCAGGGCAAGGAGGAGAAAGCCCCCACAGACCTGAGAGTCTCACGAAATTAAGTAGACCGAGATCAAAGTGTGGACAAGTTAAAGGAACTAGAATTTTCAGGAATGAATATCAGGGGGGCGAAGTTCACAGGGAGAGCAAAAGTGCTCCAGAGAGCTACCCAGCCGGCTAAGTCCTGATCTCTGCAAGTGTGAGAGAAACTACTGAGGCTGCAGGAGGAAGATGAAAAAGGGAGTCAAAGAGCAAGAAGCTGACTAAAGCCCAGATGTCACACAAGACGTAGAAGTCTGCGTTGCCTCAAGCTGGAGGGGAAAGATCTTGCAACACGTGGACCACTGGGTAGAGTCCTTAAAAGGTATCGCCTTTAAATGCCACCCTGGATTTACCTTAAAGCCTAAGAACAATAAAGGCTAAAACTAAAGGAATACAATAAAACCTCGTATCCACGACACCTAAAATTTATGTCTTGCACCTATTCGAAAATTACCAGGCCTGGAAGAAACAGGAAAATATGACACATAAGTAGAGAAAAATCATTCAAAAGAAACAGACCCAGAAGTGACAGATATTGGAAACACCAATTAAATCTACTCCACGTGTTCAAAAAGGTAGAAGCAGGATGAAGAGCGAAATGGAAAATATAAAAAATATCTAAGTTGAACTCCTAACAATGGCAATACAATATCTTCAATGAAAATATACTGCCGGCCAGGTGTGGCTCAGTGGTTGAGCATAGACCTAGCATCCAAGATATCGGGGTTTGGTTCCTAGTCAGGGCATATGCCTGGGTTGCGGGCTCGATCCCTATCAGGGGTGTGCAGGAGGCAGCCGATCAATGACGACTCTCACATCATTGATGTTTCTCTCTCTCTCCCTCTTCCTTTCTCTCTCTGAGATCAATAAAGGTATATTTAAAAAAAAAAGAAAGAAAAGAAAATATACTGGATGGACTTAAGAGAAGACACAGCAAAAGAAAAGATCGTGGAACTTAATGTAACAATGGAAAATATCCAAAATTAAGTATACAGATTAAAAAACTGAAAAAAGAAATGAACAGAGTATCAGTGACCTATAAAATAATTTCAAGCAGTCTAGCATACATGTGATTTGGAGATGCAGATAGATGGGCAGAAAAAAAATCTGAAGAAGTAATAGCTGAGAAATTTTCAAATTTGTAAAACTATAATTTACAGATCCAAGAGACTCAATGAACCTCAAGCAGAGTAAACATAATGCAAACCATGCCAAGACAAATTACAATCAGATTGCTAAAAGCAAATAAACAAATAAAAACAGTGGTAAAAATATCTTAAAAGCAGCCAGAGAAAAAAAGACACAATAAATAAAGAAAAACAAAATTTAAAATGATCGTAGACTTCTCATCAGAAACCATGCGGTATAAAGAAAAAATACTAATATTGTTTTTTATAATGATGCATTACCTGCTACAAGAGAGGCCAATCTGGAAAATTTGGGGGTAAATATTTAATTTCCTTTTTATGCATTTAGATACCATCTCAAAAAAATATATTATTTTGGGGAGATGTGTGAAAGAGAGAAAGAGAAAGATACTGGAATGACAGCCGACCATTCGGTCGACAATATGAAGAATAAACCTTTGGACACGTCTTAAGGGAACTGGACATGGTGAGCTATCATGGGCTGTTTTGAAAAGCTTGGGTTTCAAGGACAAGTGTGGACTGGACTGCTGAAAGCCCCCAGTGTTACTCAGACTTTGAGAAATGGACTCATGGAGGAAGGAAGATGGGTACTAGAGTGAAATGATCTCCTTCAGGGAGGGGCAAGGCTAAAATCAGGGCGTCTGCTAAATGCGGGCTATTTTGCGAACGAGAAAAGCACATCCCAGTACACAGGAGTAAATGTCTGGGAATAGTGACTTTCTGTGAAGTGCTCAGCTGAAATACTTTTCTCCTGGACTTTGGGAAAATAAATAGTTTATGTACAATTTTAATATTTCCCTGCCTACGCCGTAATTTTTGTTACCTTAAAAATTTAGTCAAATCTGACACATTTACACTGTCTTGTCTGAAAGCTCAATATAAAGAGATGATAAAGTGACAGAAAGTGTGATGAGTTCATTCTCACCCATGCTGGAGACAGAGAGTGTGAAAGAAACAGCGTACCTGCCTTTCCTCCCTACTCTCCCCGGAAGAGAGCGACATCTACAGAACGGTGAAATGACACTTCGCTTACACAACAAGATAATGAGATCTTCGTTCATTCATTCAATAAATATTGAATATATAAATAAGTCCCCCATTCACTTACTCATTCGATACTTATTGAGTGTCTGTGTACTGAATATTCTTCCAAGTGCTGAAATTTCAGCAATACACAAAAGCAACACGGATGCTCTCATGAAG